CTCTTCCCAAAACTCTTTTCCCCGCTCCAGGCGCTTCCGAAACCCGTTTCTCCCCCGGCGTTATCTCTGGTGCTCGATGGGGTTTGATCCCTCCTCGGAACCCTCCGCGCACCGCGGGCACCGGAGGGAGCCCTTCCCCCCCGCCGTGTCCGAAGACGAGTTGGGTTGGAAGGTTCCTCCGCATTTTTGGCACTTGTGGGTGAATGATGAGCCTGGATCGCCTGCTGAAGCTCTTCCCGCACTGAGCGCAGGGGTAGGGCTTCTCCCCGGTGTGGGTCCATCGGTGGATGATGAGATCCGTGCTCTGCCCGAAGCCCTTCCCGCACTCGTGGCACTTGTAGGGCTTCTCCCCGGTGTGCAGCCGCTGGTGCCGCAAGACCTTAGACCTTTTGCTGAAGAACTTCCCGCACTGGGAGCACTGGTAGGGCTTCTTGACCGTGTGGTAGCGTTGGTGGGCAACGAGGTCCTCGCTCCGCCCAAAGCTCTTCCCACACTCGTCGCACTTGTAGGGCTTCACCCTCATGTGCAGCCGCTCATGCTGGTAGAGCGTTGACCTCCCCTTGAAGAACATCTTGCACTCGGAGCAGTGGTAGGGTTTCTCCTCGGTGTGGGTCCGCTGGTGGCTTATAAGCTGTGAGCTCTGTCCGAAGCTCTTCCCGCACTCCTCGCACTTGTAGGGCTTCTGCCCCATGTGTATCTTCTGGTGCCGGGAAAAGTTGGAGCCGTGGCTGAAGCTCTTCCCGCACTCGTGGCACTCGTAGGGTTTCTCCCCCGTGTGAATCCGTTGGTGGACGACCACGTAGGATCTGCAGGTGAACCTCTTCCCGCACTCGGGGCACTTGTAGGGTTTCTCCCCTGTGTGCACCGTCACGTGCCGCTGGAGGATGGACCTGGTCTTGAAGCACTTCTGGCACGTCGGGCACTGGTAGACCTTCTCCTCCATGTGGATCCTCTGGTGGAGCTGGAGCTCCTCTCTCTGCCCGAACTCCTTCTTGCACTCCTGGCCCTTGTAGTGCCGCTTCCTCATGTGCCGCTGTCGGTGCTGGAGGAGCTTGGCTTCGTCCCCGAAGTGTATCCCGTCCACTTGTGTATCCCTCACGTGGACCTTCTCGTGGATGAGGAGCCTCGACCGGTAGACGAAGCTTTTCCCGCACTCCCGGCACTGGAAAGGTTTTTCTCCTACATGGATCTTCTTGTGCTGGAGAAGCAACGACCTCTCCGGGAAGAGCTTCTGGCACATGGCGCACTCGTGGAGCCTTCCTACCGCATGGGTCTTCTGGTGGACAATGAGGTTGGAGCTCTGCCTGAAGCACTTCCCACACTTGTGGCATTCATAGGGTTTCTCTCCGGTGTGGATCCGTTGGTGGGTGATGAGTGTGTACCTTCGGTCGAAGCTTTTTCCGCACTCGTC